GTACTCAACAACATGAATTGTAAAAACAGACCTGTTGAACAAAAGCATCAAATTATGGAAGATTCCATACCATATGATGTTATTTGTTATAAAGCTCACAAACAAAAGTAAACGATACGTGGCTTGGGGACACGTGGATAAAGGAAAAAAAGGGCAAAGAAACAACAGATTCAAGACAGTGGTTACCTCTGAAGAGCAAGCTGGGGAATGGATTTGAGAAGGAACACAAAGGTAGGGTGATACTACCAGAAATCTCCTTGTGCTTAATTAGTGGGTGGGTACAGAGCTGTTTTATTATTATCCTTTATAACTTCCAAGTTGCATATACTTTATATATGTATCAAATATTACATATAGAAATGTAGTGATCAGAAATACTTTTATTCTGCTTAGAAGAGACCATGAAAGAGGAAGTCATCTTTTCTTAAAAGTGTGTGCACTATGTTACCTTATAATAGCAGAAGTTTAGCTGGTATAAATGAAACCATTGACTTTTGTTTGTTTTTAGTTACAAAGAATATTGGTCAACCGCTGGTTTAGTTGTGGATCTTGAACTAGTTACTGTCTTAGAACTACTTTTTAAATTGTAAAATGCAGAACTATTATAAAGATAAAAAGTGTGGCCGGGTGCAGTGGCTCACACCTATAATCCCAGCACTTTGGGAGGCCAAGGTGAGAGGACTGCCTGAGCCCGGGGGTTCAAGACCAGCCTGGGCAACTTGGTAAGACCTCATCTCTACAATAAATCAAAAAATTAGCAAGGCATAGTGGCATGTGCTGTAGTTCCAGCTACTTGGAAGACTGAGGTGGAAGGACTGCCTGGACCCAGTAGTGGAGGCTCCAACTTAAAAAAAAAAAAAGATAAAAAGTGTTGTTATAAAGTGACTGGTAAAGCTGACACATTTTAAAAATCAGTTAAAATTCCCTATGACTTTGTCAAATTTAGGAATTCTCTTACTCTAGAGTTTGCTCAGATAGACTGAATTTAGCTTCAACCACTAAGATAACAAGTCGAAAACAGCATCAAAAAACAAACCAGAATTGTTGCATGCAAGTAAGGTTGCCCATCCAAGAGGCTGTACACTGTTTTTATTTTTATATTTTAAAGATGTGGGGTTAGGTATACAAATGTTCATTATGTAGGCACCCCTGTTGATGAGGTCTGACCCCCTTCCTTCCTAGCCCGGCCCTGACGATCCCATCCCGGCCCCCTGGCTGCTCAGGGTGAATTTAACTCTTTCATAGCAAATGTTTACCTGCGAAAACATTTTTTTTTTTTTTTTTTGAGTTGGAGTCTCACTCTGTCGCCCAGACTGGAGTGCAGTGGCTGCTCCCGGCCACCGCAGCCTTGAGCTGGTGGTTCCGGCAGATCCTTCTGCCTCAGCCTTCCAAGTAGCTGGAACTACAGGCGCGCGCTACTACGCCCAGCTAATTTTTTTGATTTATTGTGGAGATGAGGTCTAACCATAAATTGCCCAGGCGGGTCTCGAACCCGCGGGCTCAGGCAACTCACTTACCTCAGCCTCCCAAAGCGCGGGATTACAGGCTGAGCCACTGAACCCGGCTTGCGAAAACATTTTTACCAGAGGAGGAAAACCTGGATTCTTTGACACCCCAATGATAATAGCCATAACACATTTTGAATCATGTCTGATGAATAAAATGCACGGCTCCATAATCAGTTAAGATTCTGGTCAAAATTAACATATGACTATGGTGAGACTAAGTCTTTTGAGTAGCTTACAAATAAACTCTTTAGGCTATTTTCAAAGATTAGTTTTACAAAAGTTTTTAGCAATGGCAGCATTGCTTTCAAAAAAAGCTACAAGTTCACGAGGTTGCTACTTGTACTTTCTATATAGTACAAGTCTGAAATTACTGAAGAGACCATTGCTTAAGATTAGAAACAAAAAACTTTCTAAAATTTTCAGTTAAAGACCCTTGATATAAGGAGAAAAATATGCAGGCAACCTACTAAATCAATTTTTTATTTCAGGAATGGAGAATGAACAATTACACAGTTTTGATAGATTCCATAATTGAAATCAAATAATGAGGGCTGGGCACAGTGGCTAATGCCTGTAATCCCAGCTCTTTAGGAGGCTGAGGCAGGAGGATCGCTTGAGGCCAGGAGTTTGAGACCAGCCTAGGCAACACAGTGAGGTCTCATCTCTACAAAAAATGATAAAAATCGGCCAGGCATGGTGGTGTGTGCCTGTAGCTCCAGCTACAAGGGAGGCTGACATGAGAGCATCACCTGAGCCTAAGAGTTTGAGGCTGCAGTGAGCCAAGATCGTGACATTACATTCCAGCCTGGTCACTGAGACTGCAATTTAAAAAAAAGAAAAAGAAAAAATAAATCAAATAAAGAGGAACAAAGTTACACAGAACTTATAGAAAAAAGTTCTTATTATTAGCAGATACATGCAATGTATTTTAATTAATAAATAGCATGGATGTGACCCCAACTCTCTGATATTAGTAGTTTGTAGTAAATAGGATCAGGATCATTTATAATTTTGATTTGCTGGAGTATTATAACACAAACTCAAGAACGGTTTTAAGAAAATATTATAGAGAAGTTTTATTGCCACTTGTAATTTCACATGGAGAAAGAGACATAACCAATGACACCCCAATAATAATTTCTGGTAAAGAAACTACAGAAACATTCTTAACTGATAAAACATGAATTAGATTCTGAATGCATTCTCTCCTTATCATACAAGGCATGGGGAAAAAAGCAAAGAAAATTCTCAAGTTCATCATTTGCAAGAATAGTTTATGCAATTTCAGCAATCCTTTATCTAGGCGTTTAATGGTATTGTAAGTTCAAAGTCCATTTGGGAATTAAGAGAATGAATACTCCTTAAAGGGAGTATGAAGTGTATTCAAACATTTTAGAAATAAAATCAAACATTTTAGAAATAATCAATTACATAATATAGTGAAATTAGTCAAAAACAATGTCAAGTAACTTGTTTTTAAAGTGGCAGTGCAATATAGTAAAGCAAGATTTAAATGACTAAATGAATCACACAAAAGCACTTAGAAATATTTCTTAAAGAAATATACACAAATTTTCACTCTTTTGTCCATTTACCATTTCAATATTTTAGCTCTATATCACTTTTTGGTAGGCGCTGTGAACATCTGCGGTTCAAGTGACAGGCCTCACAATAGACATCTTCTTTGAACATTTGAATATTTTATCTCTTCATTCCTGTGAATATAATCATCTTTCAGTTGCATGATTCCTTCAGCCTGAGACTCATTTCATATCTCAAAGAACGTGTTTTTGTCCATAGTGATTCTGCTATGTATCTTTCCATACTGCTCTCAGGTCCTTCAAGGCTAGGCTTCTGACTGTCCATACATAAGATAATAGACAGACACACATTCCCTTTGCTTCAGTTGACTTCCCTTTTGAGTATTTCATATTTTATGGGCGGGCAGCGTACCAACTTACTATGCTAGGTGACCACTGTATAGTAAAACCCAGAAATGAAAATGTCCCAACCCATGCCCCTAAATGCTACACATATAACAAAGTCAGAAATATGTTAAGGAAAAAAACATTTTAAATAATCTCAGGAAACAATAAGATCCTCATCCTGAAAATAAATATAACAAACATACTAGTAGCCATAGCTAAACAAGCACTATAATACAAGAATGCCATAAGACATAAGAAACAGACAATTGAAGACTCATTTTGAGACTTATTCTTTGCCTCAGCCAGCTGTAGCCAGACCAGTAAGTGCTTCTGAAGTTTACTGAAATATGGTTGCAGTTGTACAGGAGAACATTGTTTCAGATCCATCAATGACTTACACACTTGCCCACAGGTGATACTAGAAAAAATAGCATTATTTGGGAACTTTTAAATCTGCTTCTTGAAAGACTTTTGTCCACCAGCCTGACCTCTCTTAATTTTTTTTCTCTTTTTGATTTGAGATACGCAATAGGTATTGGCTTTTGTAATGTGGCTTTCCACCCTACTGTACTGCCAGGCCCAGAATTTTATTTAATGGGACCATATAAGCTATTAGTCAATGAATTTCAGGACTGGATGGATGAAGAAAGTGTTTTTCACTGCCCAGCTTCCTTATAAACCAGATAACTGAACAGCAGAGAACTACAATAAATTCCAAGGCACGACCAGATTTTTAGGGAGGGCTGGAAGAGAAGAGCCAAACCTCACTGCAAATACAAAACAGCAAATTTTAATGTTCTTAATAAATATTTATAAGAACATATGTATAATGAATAGGTCATTTTATAATGCTAGTTAAAACCTCAGAGAGGTGTTAAATCAGTAGGTGCATCAATATCCTGACTTCAAATTCATATGTAGAAATATTTTAAAAGCAAAACAAAACAGAAATGCTTTCAATAAAATTTCAACAAATACACTGAAGAGGATGAAATATGAGAAAAACAGAAATGTCAATCTTTCTGTTTTTACCAATAATACCTTTTTAGTGGTTAGTGATGGGCTTGAATTCATCAATAAACTATAAAGAGTTTTTGTAAAAATGCATTCATTTCCTGATAATAAATAAAATAATAATAAATAAAAACCAGGATGGTGGCAAATAGCAAAACAGAAAGATAATAAATCCTGGGTTCAAAATCAAATGATTAAATTAAAGAAGAGAGTTAAAGATTTTTTAGATCGTCTACATTAGAGTGTCTTGCAATCTACATCATTCCTTCCTAAGATCTCTCAAATGGGCACCAGATAACATCAGATTCAAAACCTTCCCTAATTTTTCCTCTGGTTTAATTTTTGCTTATTACACAACAAATTCTTTTTGCATGAGATGAAAAAAATGTTACTGCAGACTCATCTAGATGAAGTCAGCACTGCTGGATCTTTTGGTATCCTGGCAATTTCAACTGAAATTAAAGGCTTACGCACTCCTAGAAGCTTCTGAAAGTGCAGCCAAGTGGCACTCAAAAAAGATAAAACATTTCTTCTACTTCTGTAAATATACAAGAAGTTGAAAAATCACCTAGAAAAAAAGCAAGGCATAAATTCATCAGCACCAAGTAGAAATGATCTTCCAAAGGAGCTAGTCTCTGTGTCCTCGGGTTGATGAATAGGTTTTAACATCTCCTATATGAAAAATCCACTGCCTGAGGTTGACACCCCTAGGCAAAAAGAAAAGGTGATACTCAACAAACTTTGGTAATACTCATCCAAATTAAAAAAAGAGACAGAGAGAGATTTCAAGATTTGGCACTACTTTAAACATTTCACAGAGCAGGTATGGTTTTAAGATAAACTGCCTTCCTTCCTTCCTCCATTATTTGCTAAAGCAGCAGGTATCAAATTTAACATTACTAACAATTCTTTAGCTATCATTCCAAAAATTGTACTTAGTCACAACAGTTAACATTAAGTAAGACTCTACTTGTAGCTAAAATTGTTCAAAGGTGGTCAAATCGAAATCTTGATTTTCCTTCTTGCCTTTCAGATATGACCAAATTGTCGGTAACTGAAACTCAAATCACATGCAGTCAACCACATTACTGGATCCATGACCCACATCTCGAATTTGGCTAGTTAAACAGGCACACACGGCTACACCTGCTCCAGCTCTGCAGTGAGACACGGATCCAACAAGCTCCCACCTGAAAAGACAGAGAAGAAAGAATGTTATCTGAAAACAAAGCCTAGTTTACTTTACTCAAAATACCAACCAAAGACAAAAACTCCCTACTGTGGCACTGGTTTTGAAGGATAGCAAGCTTCCAGAGAGAGACAAGATATCCCACAGGTTAGTATTAACAACCACAACTAGCAGTATTTTTATTTTTTTTGAGTTGGAGTCTCATTCTTTTTATCCAGGCAGGAGTGCAGTGGCACGCTCATGGCCACTGCAGCCTTGACCTTCTGGGCTTAGACGATCCTTCCACCTCAGCCTTCCAAGTAGCTGGAACTACACATACATGGCACCATGCCCAGCTAGTTTTTTTGTGATTTATTGTAGAGAAGAGGTCTCATGAGGTTGCCCAGGCTGACCTTGAACCCCCAGGCTCAGGCAATCCTCTTGCCTCGGCCTCCCAAAGTGCTAGTATTACAGGCTAAGTCACTGTGCCCAGCCTTTTTTTAAAAAATTATTTTTATTTATTTATTTTTCTTGAGTTAGAGTCTCACTCTGTCTCCCCGACTAGAGTGCAGTAGCACGCTCCCGGCCACTGCAGCCTCGACCTGCTGGGCTCCAGCGATCCTTCTGTCTCAGCCTTCAGAGTAGCTGGAACTACAGATGCACGCTATCACGCCCGGCTAATTTTTGATTTATTGTAGAGATGAGGTCTCGCCAAGTTGCCCAGGCAGGTCTCGAACCCACAAGCTCAGGCAATCCACTGACCTCAGCCTCCCAAAGGCGCGGGATTACAGACTGAGCCATGAAGCCCGGCTATAACTAGCAGTATTTTAACACTCTGGGATACTCTGCTATTGGAAGACACCACAAGGCATAGAGGAGACATGGAAATTACCTATTCAGCACTGGGTCGAACGCCTCTACTGTGTTTAAGTATGCGTTGCCATTGTGACCACCAACCGCAAAGATCTTGCCCATCACTGTTGCGATCCCCACACCACCCCTGGGAGTAGTAAGTGCTGCCACATAATCCCACTTGTTGCTCCGAGGGTCGTACCGCTCAACGGAACTCAGAGGAGAGTTATCATCAAAACCACCTTTGTAAAAAAAAAATTTTTAAATAGCATTACATTTAGTAAAAATTAACTACCAAGTCTCAATTCAATAGCTTTTATAACCCAATCTTTTAAAACCATTTTAGAATGATTTAGAGAAAATTAGAAAAAGAAATCATCCTAGCACCTACCCCACCACCAATACCAATCACAGTAGACACTGTCTGCAATTCAACTTAAGTGACATTCATACTTGGATTTTAAAAATTTATCATGGGAAAAATGAGTTCCTGTGTCTAAGCAGATAATTTAGGAAAAAAGAAAAAAAAGCACAAGCATTCATAAAAATGTGCCCTTGGCCTCCTAGGGACAAGCAAAGCAATAGTGAGATTCTTTCTCTGAGTGTGTGTTAGACTTTGAACAGTAAGAAGGCTTGAGAAGGGAATAAACTATATTAACTCATATGATTCATTTAGATACGCGTGAACATTTTCTAATTGTTACCCCTTAGTACCATAATTGCCACCATAATTACAGGAATCTGGTTAGACTGAATTCTCACATCTTCCTGTTATAAATTCTAGATGAAGACAGTCCTTTCTATAGATCATTCTAGCAATGTACTTAATTTATGCCTGAGGGTTACATATAGATATTTTATTTATGTATGTATGTATTTATTTATTTATTTTGAGTTGGAGTCTCACTCTGTCGCCCAGACTGGAGTGCAGTGGCTGCTCCCGGTCACTGCAGCCTCAACCTGCTGGGCCCCGGTGATCCTTCCGCCTCAGCCTTCCGAGTAGCTGGAACTACAGGTGCACGCTACCACACCCGACTAGTTTTTTTGATTTATTGTAGAGATGAGGTCTCACCAAATTGCCCAGGCGGGTCTCGAACCCACGGGCTCAGGCAATCCACTCACTTCGGCCTCCCAAAGCGCGGGATTACAGGCTGAGCCACCAAGCCCGGTTACATAAAGATATTTTAACAGTACTCTTTCCATTAAAAATAAGTGTGCCTCTTTTGAGCTCCCTCTAAATTTAAATGAATAACAGCTCTCTTTGGTGATGGCTTACTTTACAGAGAACTGAAAGTGTTGATATTATGATCAGTCTATTTAAAAACAAGGTCAATTAAAAAAATAAAGTAAAATTCTCTAATGGCTTTAACTTTATTAAATCAATTTAACTAAAATAAAATTCACCAATTTTATGTACATAATTTTATGAATTTTGAATGTATAAATGTACACAGTAGACTCATCACCACCACAAACAAGATATAAAACATTTTTTTCATTATAATAAAGGGCTTGGTTTTAATTATTGCTCATGTAATAAAGTTTTTAATAGTTATATTTTTCACAGTCTTTTTCACTGGTTCCCTTTATTTCCCTAGATAATGCATATAAATTTATAATAGTGAGGGATTCAAAGCAGAGGAAGAGAAAAAACAAACTGCAATTAGATTGTCAGACATGCCAACACCTTCCAATTTTTCGTATTCAGATCAGCTGTACCTGTTTTAAGGAGGAACTGAATGCCCAGGGGTTTTCTATGTCCAACTTGAGTCACTCCTGTTTTTACCATGTCTGTTCTAACTATAAGGGTCCAGAAGACGTAACAAGGAACAGAACAGTGATACTCCTGCTGATACATAACACGTGTCAGTGCCTACGGCAGACAGGGACTGTCAGAGGTGGACTGTGAGAACTCTGGAGTCACACAGACCAAGTTCAGATTCTGGCGCTATCACTTATTCATGCACGAACTCTTTCTGCAAGGGTAAATTCAGTCTCTGAGTCTCTCGACTGCCTTGCAGGGCTGCTGTGATAATCAGGCAAGGTCCAGGGGCCGTTAAGTTATTTCCCATTTTAATACACATGGAGGACATTTGAAAGATGCAGCACCACTTCTGCTACTTGCAGGTATTAAACACTGATGATATCCTACTCTCTTCTCAAGTACTGTAAGTTATATAATACCAACAATTGACATTAATGTGTATAAGTAAACATACATATGCTAGTGACAACCTCTCTGAGCTCATCTCTTTCCCTGTAAAGGAAAGTATCACTAATCATATACAGCTATTCATTTATTAGGTAACTACAAAATGTCAGACACAGTCTGAGATGTTTCATGTGTCATCTCTATTTCCTAAAATGATGCTGAAAGATATTCCTACTTCACCATCATGTAAAGCCTGGCTACTGAAAATGTATTATGTGGACCTGAAACTGCACTGGCGTCACTGGAGAACTGACTGAAACACAGTATCTGGGCCCCTCTTTTACAATACAACAAGATCTCCAGATTAGTCATATGCACATTAAAGTTTTAGAAAGCACTGACCTAATGTTACTTCCAACTCTGCAATTCAGTAAGTAAAAAAGCAATAAAAAGATTGACATAGGCTTTACTTGTTTAAAATACTGACTGGTTTACTTAAAGTATTCAACATAATTTCTACTGAAATGAAGTTGTGAAAAACGAGTCTTAGACCTTTTAAGATTTACTTTAGCCAAGCACCTTCAATTTGTGTCCTTATGTTTAAAAACATATACCTTATTCAATTGTAATCCCCTACTTTAAATAAATTTGTTACTGATAGAAAAATGAGGATGGATTACTTTTCTTTTTCTTTCTTATGTATGAAAATGCTTTCCTTTTCTATTTCAAAGATGTGGGATACAATTCAGAATTAGGTGTACACGTGGTCATCATACAGGTAAAGTTCGGACTTCCCTTTGGTCCCCACTTTGCCTGGTTTGAGATCAGGTACCCTTACTGATGTTATGTGCTCCCCCCCATATTAGTTTTAAACATGAAAGATGAATAAATGGTGTGAATATCAACCTTAAGAATCCAAAAGCATCAAACTGTACCCCACGAACATGTACAATTATTATGCATCAATTATAAACAGAACTTTTAAAAGGTTATAAAAAAAGAACTAAAAAGTACACCTTAGAACTGATTTCGCTTAAGACTAAATGCAATACAATTTTTGTTACTGTGTCACTATATAATACTTGTCATCGTATATTTCAATACGTTAAACTGGAAAAATACCATCCACTCACCAACAACGTATAAGCAGCCATGAAGCTCACTGACTCCATTGCCTGCTCTTCGCTGACCCATTTCTTTAACTTCTATCCACTTGTCCAGATGTGGATCATACCTCTCCACACTAGATAAGGAAGCCACTCCATCATTGCCACCCACTGCATAGACGTGGTTCTAAAAGAAGAGAGACAAACAAGCACATGACGTTCAATTCTGAATTTATTTATATATTGTTCTAATGGCGGGAAAGAATGTACAATTAGAAAGCAGTATTTTATGAAACAACACAGTATATAAAAAGTTTCTTCATACTGGTGGCAGCTACACTGGACTTTCCTTATGTGGTTATGGGTATGATGAAATGCAACCAATTGGCAACTTGTTACACAACTTACCACTAGAGCCACAGAGCCAACTCCGCCACGGGGCGTGTTCATTGGTGCCACCGTACTCCACTGATCAGATTCTATGTCATATCTCTCCACGTCATTGAAGCAAGTATTGTCATCTAACCCTCCAATTGCGTAAATGGGGCCTCCTAAGGAGGCCAAGGCAATTCCTCGCCTGCAAATGAAAGGAAATACACTTTAACATCTGAGTTTGTTGCCAAGAAAAGAGCTGCAAAAAAACCCCACAAAACTGTGTTAATCCAAGTCATTTATCATGTGAACCTGCAAATCATATAGCTTGTTTCCATTATTTCTAGACTTATCTAGATTTCTGAAGAGATGGCTACAACTCTATATGGACAGCACCCCATAAGTAAGTACATGTACAGTACATGGTCTACACAGGCTACTTTAAACTCAAAACAAGAAAATCCAACACAGTAGTGTAAAGGGGTACCACATATTCTATCAGTCCAAAGCACAGCTACATAACTGAGAGGCTGGTAAGCTGGCACATGTCCTGCTGGGGAGGTCAGAAGCTGGTATCATTTACAAATCCAGTCACTGCAGGGCTTGTTTTGCTGCTAGGGCTTCATTATCCCACACAAAAGAACATGACATTTTATACTGCAAGCTTTGTATCACATTGCTTTATTTCTGAGGGGCTGACACTTCTCCTCCTTAAAAGAAAGAGACCTAGCCCATGTTAAAAGATAATTTATTTAAAAATGACCAGAAAAAAAAACCCTCAATTTTTATTATTTTTTTGTGGGGGGGCATCCCAGTTTCTTTTTATTGAATTTTTTTCTATTTTTAAGTATGGAGGCTCAAGTATGAGCTGCAAATTTTTTAAAGGTTTACAAAATAAAACAAAAAACTCCTTCTGCACTCCACAAAAATTGACAGAAAAGTACCTGTCAGAAGAGCAGGACAGTCGGCAGGTCCCCCACCCCCATACGTGGTCTCCGTGGGACGGGGGAGTCTGCGGGACGAAGCCGAGGGCCTCCTTTCCTCCCAGAGCTGTCCCTGTTCCTAAGCCCAACCCAAGCAACTCCCAAACACACATGGAATCAGATTTCCAGTTTTTCTTCTCTTTCACACACCACAGGTATTTCATAAAATTTTGTTTTACATTTTTTTACACCAATGTAACAAAAAGATGGGAAGGAAGGGGAGGCTGACAGACAGTGTATTTTATGCCTATAAATGAGAGAAGAGACATCGGGCCTGGGTGAACAAAAACACATGGTCTCTATGGAAACACTGAGAGTTTCGATAGCAAAATGTGGTGGGAAGCAGGTCTCGGAGCCAAAGAGAGTGTAGTTGGTTTTTATTCTCAGGGAGAGATGGTGCTGTGTGGTTGATGATGCAGGTGGTTATAAAAACATTTCATAGCATTCAAAAGTTGAACTATTATAATACTACCATTTGTCATGAACTTGGATGACAAGTAGTGCACTTTATAAACCTCTACTACCTTGCTTCTCACCTGAGACACAGAGGACATAAAGATATAGGTAAAGCTTATTAGCTATTACTATTACTGGAGAACTCAGCTGTTCTGCTGAGATTCTAATTCTAAATTTATCAGAGAGTATCCTAGGAAAGGATACTTAAGGATAATATTATCATTCATTTTCAGTTTCCTTAACCTCTTTGCTCTTGACTTACCAAATACTGTGGTTATAAAATTTTTCAGGTGTGTGTGAACAAGCACAAGTGCTCTCTAGAACATAAGGATGATAGATCTGGGCAGGAGTCATGTAAGTATGCCTAATAATAACTCTCCCTCCCTCACAAACCACAGAAACAGATGACATGATGGTTTTCTACTCGTCAAAACTCTACTCTCTTAATTGTCAAGACATCACATACTTAAATTCCCTCCACTTCTCTGGCCAGTGCTTTTCAGCTTCCTTTATCAGTGAATGCCTTACTCCATCATTAAATTATAAAGTCCTAAGGCCTCTTCTCACTTTATACGCTCTCTAAGCAACCTCATTGTTCCAAAAATCTGTGATAACTCAAATATGGGGGTGCCAAAAAAACGTAAACACATTTTAAGAGATGTGAAAGTTGAATTGAATGACAGTAGCAATGTGTAGTATGACATTGTCTCATACCATGCTTCCGTCATTTTCTTTGTCTTGCCTGTTGCATGGTGATGCTAGGATTCATTTGATTACGTCATCTTTTGAGCAAACATACTTAAAATGTATATACATTTTTGGCACCCCGTGTATATTTTCCGATATCTATCCAATTTCTTCCTCAAATCTGTCTCACTAGCTCTTCAGTCTTAATTTTAATCTGAAATGGAACTCACCACCCACCTTTTTGTGGAGACCAAACTGTAAAATGACCCCTCTACCCTTGTCAGTCGTCTCCTGGTGTTATACCCATGATCAGGCTATACTGCATGGCAAAAGGGAGATGACCTTGGTGGGCCTCATAGCTGGTGCTTATTTGAAAATGGAGGGGAAGGTGTGGAAAGGACTTGAGGTGACTTCTAGGCAACAACCAATAAAAGTGAGTAATGCAGGCCTATGACCACAAGAAAAGGAACTCTATCAGTAACTTAGCAGTGGCTTCTTCCCCAGCACCTCCAGAAGAGCGCCTAACCCAACATTTTTACTCATCTCAGGTGAGACCCCAAGTAAAAAATCCAGCAAACCTGCAGGATTTCTGAACTGTGAGTTAATAAAAGGGTGCTATTTTAGGCTGCTAAATTCTTGGCAATTTGTTATATAGCAAGAGAAAATTAATACAGCCCCATTCCAAGACAAACAAAAATTTTATCCTGTCCATCATCTTGTTTTTCTTAATACAGAAAGTCACACCATTACCCATCCAGTTGCTTACGCCAGAAGGAAAGAATCATCCTTGCTTTCACCTTACTGTTCTTGCTACCTCCTGTATCTAATGATCACAGAGTTGTGCTGACTGCACACCTCTGAGCCTGCGTTCCAATATGTCCTCTCTTCTCTACCTCAATTCTTACTGCTTTAGTCCAAGCCCCCATTATTTCTTGACTAAACTGTTACTTTTTGGTTTGTTAGACTGTTTTCACTCTCGTCATCCACAAATTCCTCCTCCATCTTGTATGCAGAAGACCTTCAAAAAGATAAACCTGATCCTATAATTCCCCTATTTAAATAAAAACATATAATGTATGTTAAGTACATTACATATAATCTATATTTAACACATAAATATAGTAAATGTATATTTAATTCAAAGTTCACCACACAAACACCCAGGGCCTGCAAACTTGCAGGGCCCTCCTCCGTTGCTACTCTGCCTTATTTCAAGACACTCTTTCTCTTGGTCTGTCAACCGTGCTGGATTTCTTCCATGCTCTCTGCTCTTTCACACTTCCAGGTTTCTGGAGGCTCTTCAACTCTCTCCACCCCACTCTAACCCCAGCTACAATCACATAACCAAGTTTAATCCTATGACTGCTTCAGTTTTTAAATTAATGGGGGCTTCATCAAGATCTTCTCCACTTCCCAAAGCACCCTTTACTTACCCTGTGCTGACATTATTGTGCTTATACCCATATCTTGTATTTGTACCTTCTCTTCTAGAATATGAGCTACAATAAGGCAGGAGCTTTGGCTATCTTATTTACTGTTGGTAGCAGAAAATAAAGTGGTTCTTCACCACTTGATATGTCTTGCAGTGGGCATTTAAAACCACAGCTTGAACAAACATCAGTGTTCATGTTAGTGAAAATATTTTTTTACAGGAGAAAAAAATAAAGAAAACTAGATATTTTACATGAGAAAATTATCTTGAAATGCACACTGAAAAGATGATTTGGGAGAATAGAAAATATAAGCAAATAATAAGCAATTATGACACACTAACTGTAATTCTACTATTTTTTTTTTTTTAACACGGTTGGATAGCTATTGTAAATGCTCAGGGCATATTTTTAAGAATTAAAGGGTTGGGCTCGGTGGCTCGGCCTATAATCCCAGCACTTTGGGAGGCCGAGGTGAGTGGATTGCCTGAGCCCGCGGGCACGAGACCTGCTTGGGCAAGCGAGACCTCATCTATATAATAAATCAAAAAAATTAGCCGGACGTGATAGCACATGCTTGTAGTTCCAGCTACTTGGAAGGCTGAGGCGGAAGGATCGCCAGAGCCCAGCGGGTCGAGGCTGCGGTGGCCAGGAACGGCCACTGCACTCCAGTCTGGGTGACAGAGTGATACTCCAACTCAAAAAAAAAAAAAAAAAAAATTAAAGAACTCAAATTCTATTTTGCTAGAGAAGTTTCATTCAATGCCTGGCCAAAAAACCAACTTAATAGCAAGGACATAAAGATTAAAAATGTACTTTGAGATTTTTCTCCTCTAATTTAATCTATGCACTGAAATTTAAGCTATTTGTCATTATCACATAGTATAAATCAAGCCCTATTCAAGTATTAAAATGTCATTTGTAGATAGTGAGAGGTAATTGTTTGCCTGAGACAGGGTCCCACTCTGTCACCAAGGCTGGATGGAGTATAGTGGCATGATCACGGCACACTGTAGCCTTGATCTACTAGGTTTAGGCAATCCTACTTCTCAGCCTCCCGAGTAGCTGGAACTATAGGCATGCACCATCACAACAGCTATTTTAAAATTTTTGTGTAGAGATGAGGTCTCGCTATGTTGCCTAGGCAGGTCTTGAACTCCTGGGCTCAAGCAATCATCTCACCTTAGCCTTCCAAAGTACTGGGATTATAGGTATGAGCCACCATGTCTGACCTCATAAGAAATCATTTTTAACTCTTACAGAATGTTGCTACAGTTTGCCAACTATACAAGCTACAATATCCAAAGTACCATTTTGTTAGGTCTGGTTTGTTTGTGTCTTTTTAAAAAACTGAACTTAGGCACCATAATAAGATCTCATGTCTACAAAAACTCAAAAAAATTAGCCAAGCATGGTGGCATGTGCCTATAGTCCCAGCTATTCGGGAGGCAGAAGCAAGAGGATGGCTTGAGCCCAGGAGGTCAAGGCTGCAGTAGGGCATGATCATGCCACTGCACTCTAGCCTGGGCAACAGAGTAAAACTTCAACTCAAAACAAAAACAAGGCCGGGTGTGGTGACTCACGCCTATAATCCCAGCACTTGGAGGCTGAGATTGAAAGGATTGTCTGAGTTCACAGGTTCAAGACCAGGCCAGGCAACTTGGTGAGACTTCATCTCTATAATAAATCAAAAAATTAGCCAGACATGGTGGCGTGTGCCTGCATTTCCAACTACTTGGAAGGCTGAGGCAGAAGGATCACCTGAGTACAGCAGGTCAAGGCTGTGGTGGTTGTGAGTGTGCCACTGCACTACAGCTGTGTGACAGAGTAAGACTCCCACTCAAAAAACAAAAAAAACCCTGCAGATAATAAATTTCTAGTTTTATTCTTTATGCAAAGCTATTCTTAAGCAGTATTTTCAACATTTACTCAGCCCTTTTCTCTTTTCCTCCATTATATTTCTACTCGGTACCAGGGGCAGAATTATTCTAGTATCTAGTTTTATATAAATTATTAAGCTCAGTCTTTGAAATCTTCACCCTAGTTACTGAATTATATTATTTTATATAATTATGTTAATTAATTAAATAATATAACTATATTAATCAATTAAATAATATATTTATATTACTTTTATGAAAAAGAAAAATAACAGGCAATCTCATTTCTCTTCCATTTGGTGAACAATATATGTGATCTTTCTGACATATACAATTCTAGTCACTGGGTGGAATTATAGTATGCTCCATTGCTATTATACTGAATTATAAATATTTATTCCTTCCTTCCTACTAAAGCAACACACACCTCTTACAATATCTACTTACTTCTTTAATCCTTTGTCTCCAGATCACAGCTCTTCAAGTATTTTTTATGTAACATGGTTTTCAGATGTGTTACTCACCTGACAGTCCTTTCTTACATGCATCTTAGGACTCTCACATTTGTAACAATCAGATTTTGTGCATCTGCTATACACCTTATTTTCAAATTATAAACATAATTACTGTACTAATAGGTTATGTTTACTATAAAACATCCACCCACAATAATTTTTTGGGGGGGTTGGAATCTTACTCTGTCCTCCAGGTTGGAGTGCAATGGCAGAATCACAGCTACTGCAGCCTCAACCTGCCATGCTCAGAAGATCCTTCCGCCTCAGTCTTCCAAGTAGCTGGGACCACAGGTGCACATAACCATGCCCAGCTAATTTTTTAAAAAATTTATTGTGGAGACAAGGTCTCTCCAAGTAGCCCAGCCTGGTCTCGAATCCCTGGGCTCAGCCAATCCTCTCGCCTCAGCCTCCCAAAGTGCTGGTACAGGTGTGAGCCACCATGCCCAGGGCATAGATTGCTTAAAATGTATCAAGATAGAATCTTTTATTCTCATGCCCCAAATGATGTTACATATTCCACCTCAAGACCACAGCTAGATATGGAGAGATCAGCATAAAGAATAGCATGACTATAAACTCCCTTGATCTAAAGGCTTCACTTCTTTTAATGTACGCAATTGTATTATATTTGCATTTTCCTTTCTTTTTTTAAAGAGTTGTTTCATAGTGGTTCAGGCACTTTTCTCCACATGAAACATAATCATAAACCCGATTTGCTACCATGTTGTACTGATATAACTGATTATTTAAAATATTTAAAGCAGGTTTTAACCTATAACTCTAATTAATTAATCAATAAAATAATATTTAATACCATGTTAACTCTAATTTTAGTATTTTTAGGTTTTGCCAAGAGAACATGTGGTCTATTCTGTCTTCTGAATTCTGATTTGGTTACAGGATATTAATTATCCTTCTACTTTAAGACATCCAAAAATGTAATTCAAGTCATTAATAAAAAAGTTGAACAGCAGATTTGCCTATTAGGAGTAGTGTCTATTAAGTGAAGTCTTATGAAAAAATTAATAGGAAAAAATACCAAATATATGCATCTGTTTGAGTATATGAAAGGACATATACTAAAACTGTTAACAGCTAACATTTCCAACATTTCTAGTTTGTGGAATTTGGATGATTTGGATGATTTTTACCTATAGTTTCCAATTAATGACTGAACAAATTACATATACAAACACAAAGGGAAAAAAAGAGTTGGTACTTAAAACAAATTAAAAAAAACGTTAGCCGGGTGTGGTGGCTCACACCTATAATCCCAGCACTTTGGGAGGCCGAGGTGAGAGGATTACCTGAGTCCATGGGTTCGAGATCAGACTGGGCAACTCGGGGAGACCTCATCGCTACGATAAATCAAAAAAAATTAGCCAGGCGTGGTGGCACACACCTGTAGTTCCAGCTACTTGGTAGGCTGAGGTAGAAGGATCACTTGAGCCCAGCAGGTCAAAGCTGCGGTGGCTGTAAGCCTGCCACTGCACTCCAGCCTGGGCGACAGAGTAAGACTCCTACTCAAAAAAAAAAAAAAAAGTTGAACAGGCTAGAGCACTAAGTAGGTTACTGAAAATCTCCCCTTTGCATGATCCATTTATTGTAGATAAGAATTTAAAATACTAATGCTCATCATGATAAAAATCAATGAAGAAAACAGAAATTAAGGAATATTTTCTCAACATAATAAAATATACATGCCTTAGTCCTAAACTCAGTATATTATTTAATAGAGAAACACTAGAAACATTTCCGCTAAGATCAGGAACAAGACATAAACGTCTACTATCTCTGCTAGCATTCATCTATAGTTGATTATTAGCAGATATAATTAGATAAGAAAAATCAACTGAAAGCATAAGAATATGTGGGAAAATTGGCAAAAGTTGAATAAATCTGTAGCAGCATCCCTGACTTCTTCCCAATACACACCAGCAGCAACTTGCCCACTCCTAAGCTGTGACAACCAAAAATGTCTCCAGACACTGCCAAGTGGCCCATACAGGAGCAAAACCATCTTCAATTGAGAACCACTAATACACAGCAACTTTATTTTTGTAACTTCTTGGAAAGAGCTAAAATTATTTCAAAACAAAGTTTTTACAAAACCAGTTCTCAGGTATAAGACTGTGATCACCATTATGGCACTCTAAAATATGATTGCATTTTTTTTTGAGTCAGAGTCTCACTCTGTCACCTAGGCTGGAGGGCAGTGGCATGCCTGTTGGCCACCACAGCCTCAACCGGCTGGGCTCCGGCAATCCTTCCGCCTCAGCTTTCCAAGTAGCCGGAACTACAGGCATGCACTACCATGCCCAGCTAAGTTTTTTGATTTATTGTAGAGACAGTGTCTCGCCAAGTTGCCCGGGCTGGTCTCGAATCCGCAGGCTCAGACAATCTACTTGCCTCGGCCTCTCAAAGTGCTGGGATTACAGGCTGAGCCACCAAGCCCCGCCACATGATTGCATTTTTAATTCTTAAAAAACTATTACCATAGGCACTTTAACAAAATGTGTTTCAGAAGGTATTTTAAGTTTCTAAAATAGAAAACAAGAAAAAAAAGCCTTTCAATTTTAGGAAACTGTCTTTATTTTCCACCATCAGTTCAAAAGAATGCCCATGCTGATCTACCTCTTTGTGTTCATTGATGCCTTCATCATCCATTTATTAGTGAGAGGATCAAACATCTCCATGCTACCTAAATGTTCATTTCCATCATGTCCACCTACTGCATACACTTTACCTGTCAAATAGAGAAGAATTTATTTGATTTCAAATAAATTGCTAATGTTAATACTATTTACATATAACATATAATTAAAATGTCACCATAATTAATTTCCAACTACTGCTGTTCTGTTCAACATTATGATCAGTGTCCTTTCAGTAGAATGAAGTTCAATATAAGCTTCCAAGTCACATGCTATTTTACATAAAATTATTTAAATGCTCAAACACCATCCCCATAGGTTTCCCAGCTTTTTGTTACTTAGATGAAATCACTAATCATGCATTCAAAAAAATGTTTAATAAAATTTTTTAAGTACTCTTAAAATTTTACATAAAGAAAAATATAAAACTATTAATATAATATGATCAATTCTTTTCTAAATAAAACAAACAGATACACACAGAAAAGTGAGAAAGATTATACATCAAAATGTTAACTGTGACTATTTTTGAGTGTATGGGTTATAGATGATTTTTATTTTTTATTAAAATATATTTTTATATTTAAAAAATTGAGTCAGGCATGGTGGCTCATGCCTGTAATCCCAGCACTTTGGGAGGCAGAAGTGAGAGGATTGCCTGAGTCCAGGAGTTCAAGACCAGCCCGGGCAACTGGGCAAGACCTCATCTCTACAGTAAATAAAAAAACTAGGGGGGAGGGGGAAGGGAGGTGGGATTAACGGTAGTCAATATCTATCTGGGGACAGGGAGACACCCCTTATCAACAAGGGTGCCTGAACGAAGCATATTTGTATACCTAACCCTTAAGTGTACCCCACAATATCAAAATAAAAAATATTGACATAAAAAAAAATTATCCAGAAGTGACGGTGTGCACCTGTAGTTACAGCTACTTGAAAGGCTGTGGTGGAAGAACCCCCTGAGCCCAGCAGGTCGAGGCTGTGGTGACTATGAGCACGCCACGGCAGTCCAGCCTGGGCAACAGCAAGACTCTGACTCAAAAAAAAAAAAAAAAAGAATTTATACTCTTATAATCAGAAAAAAGTGATTTTTAAAAGTTTTCTGACTGGGTGCAGTGGCTCATGCCTGTAATCCCAGCACTTTAGGAGACAAGGTAGGAAAACTGCTTAAGCCCAGGAGTTAAAAACCAGCCTAAGCAACATTGCAAGACCTCATCTCTACAAAAAAAATAAAAAATTAGCCAGGCTCGGTGGCTCAGCCTGTAATCCCGCGCCTTTGGGAGGCTGAGGTGAGTGGATTGCCTGAGCCCGTGGGTTCGAGACCCGCCTGGGTGGCGAGACCTCATCTCTAAAATAAATTTTAAAAAAATCAGACGGGCATGGTAGCGCATGCCTGTAATTCCGGCTACTCGGAAGGCTGAGACGGAAGGATCGCCAGAGCCCAGCAGATCGAGGCTGCGGTGGCAGGGAGCGGCCACTGCACTCCACTTTGGGTGACAGACAGAGTGAGACTCCAACTCAAAAAGAAAAAAAAAGTGTGTGTGTGTGTGTGTGTGTGTATATATATAAAATGAGCTGTGCATTATGGCTCATACCTGTAGTCCCAGCTACTCAGGAGGCTGAGGTGGGAGGATCACCTGAGCCCAGAAGGTGAGCCATGATGGTGCCACTGCACTCCAGCCTGAGTGACAGTGTGACTCCCACTCAAAAAAAAAAAAAAGCAAAAACAAAAGTTTTCTAACAATTTATCCATGGTTCCATACTTAATTCATTTTCAGTAATGAGTTAAAAAAATCTAATTTCAGTGACAATTAGATGGATATAGATAAAAAACAAATATAAGTTTATGACATGGGTTCAATAAACATTTTCCTCTAATGTTTTGGCAAATATAACTCAGAATAGTTTCATCTCCCTTTTCTCTTATAGGTATATCTACATTATGCACCTATATGCAACAGACTGTATACTAAGCATCTGTAAGCACAAAGCAAGCAATAACCACCACCCAAACATTTTACTGATATATTAAAAAAATATTTACAATTTAGAAATAGTCTTATATAAAAAAAGAAATTCTTCAAGGTCAAATACTTTAGAAAGAACACTGTGATCACAGAATGTTGTGATAGAGAACAGCGAACCCACCTGCCACAGAGATCACACCCACGTGGCGCCTCCGGTTGTTCATTTCTGGTCCAAAGAACCAACTGTTTTTGTTGATAGAATAGCATTCGATGCTGCGGAAGGGGTCACCAGACCCACCTCGGCCGCCTACACAAAACAGTACACCTAAAGGTAAAGTCACAAAAGAGAGATCAAAATCAAGGCTGCCAAATTTTTTAAAAATTAGTGTGGAAAAGTAAAAAAGCCAAAACTTGAGTAAAACCAATAAAAAAAAAGTTATATGGATAGTGTTCAATGTTATGTTACTTGAACTCTAATAATTTTCTTTCTCCTTCTTTATTTGGACTTCTCAAAGACTAGGCGCCTCAGCCATCTCTGCTTGCTGACACCCCATTACAATATGGCTTTTACCCTCACTCGTCCATAAAATTACTCTTGCTAAGGTCATAATAAAACTTCTAAGTTAACTTCTTTTTTTTTTTTTTGGAGTTGGAGTCTCACTCTGACGCCCAGACTGGAGAGTAGTGGCACACTCCCAGCCACAGCAGCCTTGGCCTGCTGGGTTCCGGCGATCCTTCCACCTCAGCCTTCCAAGTAGCTGGAACTACAGGTGTGCACTACCACGCCTGGCTAGCTTTTGATTTATTGTAGGGATGAGATCTCGCCAAGTTGCCCGGGAGGGTCTCAAACCCGTGGGGTCAGGCAATTCACTCACCTCAGCCTCCCAAAGTGCTGGGATTACAGGCTGAGCAACCGAGCCGGACTAAGTTAATTTCTTATTGAACACAAATGCAACGTTTGATATGATGATCATCTTACTTTGGGAGAAACATCTTACTTTCTTGATTTCTATAAACTCCAAGTCTCCTTTTGTCTCTAATCATCTCTCTCCTGTTTCCATGCTCCATCTGCTCACGCAGGAGAAGCTCATCCCTCTAACTTAGATTCACTATGTCACAAAACCTTCCTCGCTCCATTTCCAAGCCACATTCCCAAGTGACCCCACATATCCAGAAGGCGCTTCCCTCCTTGCCCACTGAAGCCTCTTCCTTCCCTGCGGTGTCCTCCTCCTTCTCTTCCCACCTCTACTGCCTTAAGTCAGGCCCTCGGCACCTGCTACCCAACCACAAATCCTGTCCTCTCTCATCACTTAAGTAGCATTTTTGCTTTCAAACTGACAACAAAGTAAACTCATTAAAAGGCACTTTCATATCTTTCTATGACTTACATCAGTAGTTCTTTTTGCTTTGTTTTGTTTGAGTTGGAGTCTCACTCTGTTGCCCAGGCTGGAATGCCGCATGCTCATGGCCAACACAGTGTGGACCCTCTGGGCTCCAGTGATCCTTCCACCTCAGCCTTCCAAGTAGCCGGAACTACAGGTGTACACTACCATGCCTGGCTAATTTTTGATTTATTGTAGAGAAAAGGTCTCGTCAAGTTGCCCGGGCTGGTTTCGAACCTGCAGGCTCAGGCAATTCACTCGCCTCAGCCTCCTAAATTGCTGGGATTACAGGCTGAGCCACCGAGCCCCGCCACACATCAGTAGTTCTTAAAAACTATAGTTGATGCCACTGAATTGTACATTTAATTTGGGATGTGCAGTTGTACACTTAATTGTACACTTAAACATGGTTAAAATGGCAATTATGTATAAAAACCACAATTTAAAAAACCAGACCCTTGAGTGTGATTCAGAATCACTTGAAAGGCATAACACACAGACTGCTGGGCCTGGCCCCCAAAGGTTTTGACTCAGCAGGTCTGGGGCAGCTGCATTTCTAAGAAGTTCCCAAGTGAACACCAATGCTGCTAAGGCATGAGCAACTTCTTCCTTCCCACCTTGAGAAGCACTGACTGCCTTACAAGGAGAGCCTTAGCACAGCACAAATAAACCTTCCAGAATCTAACCAAATCTCCTCCCTTTCTCTGAAACTTCATGCTCCTGTGACAGACACATAGTGTTCATCCTTGGTGTTCCTGTAGTGCTTTTAGAATTATCATTCACTTAACACACAGCCTTGCAATGATGTATTATGCTGATTGACACCTGGTAACAGAGTCTATGTTAGGTTAAGACTCTGAATGAAGCATTTATGCACTAAAAAGGACTACCACAGTGCCTGGAATGCACTAGACAGTCAATAAAAGTAAAATGAATCTAGCATCCCTCACCCTAACTGGTACTCAGAAGAGCATACATTTATTATTCAAAGGCTGAGGTTTATTTTCTCTGTAAAACCTTTTCTGACTCCTCCAAGGTAAAAATAACCACTTCTTTCTTTGTACATCCCATCATCCCTTGTGATTATATAAAAGTAACTGTAATACTCTATTGCATTTATTTATTCAAGCATCTATTTTCCTAGACCTGACTACAAATTCTTCCAAAATGAGGCTGGCTGTATTCTATCAGTGTCTGTGTTTCTAATGCCTCACCCAGAGCCTTCCACAAAGTAGGCATTTACTACATGTTTGCTGAAGGACTGCATAAATGAATGACTGGGAACGGTTTGTGCTATCTTCTCCAACTGATTCAATGTTTTAAGTAAAAAAAAACTTAAAATCGGAAGAAAATGTAAAGATGACTTATAGATAAACTGAGGCCTTGAGAGATTAAGAAATTCACCCCAAGTTACAGATGTTTAATGTCAAAACTGGAATTATAATCCCAGAGTATAATCCCGATCTTTGATTAGATCATCTTTCCATGGAAACTAGTATTGAGCTACATAGGTCACCTAGGAACATGGCATGGAAGAAAGTAAGGAGATCCAGGTACAAACCCTTTCTCTGCTGTTTGTCTATGTGGCCTTGAGCAAACTTTTAACTGCTCTCATTCTTAGTCTCTTCATACATAAAATGAAATAACACCATCTATCTCATAATGAGGGCCAAATCCTTTGCTAAAACCTACCACATAAAGTTCTTGCAACCAGGTAAGAGATCATGTATATGAGTATCTAATTCTGGCACATAACCTAGGATGCTAAGATGTTTGAATTCCATTGTGAATTTGAAGAATTTTATCAGATATCTTGACCTTCTGAAAAACTAAAAAAAAAAGTATACAACTAAAAAAATTTTATTCCTAATAAAATAAATAACAGCGCTTTTCATGTTAAAGTAATTACTTAGAACTACTTCTTCATAGGCAGGTGTATGACTTTCAGCCCTTTTTTTTTTTTCCTTGGAGTCAGAGTCTCACTCCATCACCCAGTCTGGAGTGCAGTGGCACGCTCATGGCCACCCCAGTGTCGACCTGCTAGGCTCTGGAGATCTTTTCGTCTCAGTCTTCCAAGTAGCCAGAACTATAGGCGTGCACTACCACACCTGGCTAATATTTTTATTTATTGTAGAGACGAGATCTCGCCAAGTTACCAGGGCTGGTCATGAACCTGCGGGCTCAGACAATTCACTCGCCTTGACCTCCCAAAGTGCTGGGATTATAGGCTGAGCCACCAACTTCACCAACTTTCAGCTTTTCTTTTTTGGAAAGCAGAATTTATTGAGAGGACAGAAAAGCTCCCAGGTGGGAAGGGACCCGTAGGAGTTGCCTCAACCTTTCTTTATATTACCTAGTAAAATTCTATTCTATTCATAATCAAGCACTGCCTCTCGCAGTTGTTGTTTTCAGACTATGTCAGAGACCTCATTATCTGATAACTGCCTACTTAGGCAGCACCATATGTAGGAAGTCTCTATCCAGAGTTCCTCTTCCTAAATTTCTAGACCTCACTTACATTCCCTCATCCCTCAAATATGTTACTCTTTGTAAATTTTTTTTTTTTTTTTTGAGTTGGAGTCTCACTCGGTCGCCCAGACTGGAGTGCAGTGGCCGCTCCCGGCCACTGCAGCCTCGACCTGCTGGGCTCCGGCGATCCTTCCACCTCAGACTTCCAAGTAGGCGGAATTACAGGCATGCACTACTACGCCTGGCTGATTTTTTGATATATTGTAGAGATGAGGTCTCGCTGCCCAGGAGGGTCTCAAACCCGCGGGCTCAGGCAATCCACTCACCTCAGCCTTCCAAAGGCGCGGGATTATAGGCTGAGCCACTGAGCCCGGCTAATATTTTTATTTATTTATTTATTTATTTATTTATTTATTTATTTATTTATTTTGAGTTGGAGTCTCACTCTGTCGCCCAGACTAGAGTGCAGTGGCCGCTACTGGCCACTGCAGCCTCGACCTGCTGGGCTCCGGCGATCCTTCCACCTCAGCCTTCCAAGTAGCCAGAATTACAGGCATGTGCTACCACGCCCGGCTGATTTTTTGATTTATTGTAGAGATGAGGTCTCGCTGCCCAAGTGGGTCTCGAACCCGCGGGCTCAGGCAATCCACTCATCTCAGCCTCCCAAAGGAGCGGGATTACAGGCTGAGCCACCGAGCCCGGCTAATATTTTTTTTTAAAAGTGATACTTTTTACAGTTTAATGTTTAGAGAATAAAGAAGACAGCATAAACTCTTTTCTTGGGAAAATATAAAGTCTGCGAATTGTGACAAATAATGGTGAAACTGCATTCCTCCTAAAATATAAAGGTTTTTGATTCTAAGAGTTTAATATGGTCCATTATACAAATGTCACGTTTAGTGCCTTTCTTTTGATTTGGCAAAACAAAAAACCAAACATTTAAATATGCAATATATTTCAATATATAGCCACACTTGGCACCAGGAATACAAACTTAAGTAAGATACTTAACTGTCTATTTTTTTTTTTAATTGGAGCCTCACTCTGTCGCTCAGGCTGGAGTACAGTGGCATGCTCCTGGCCACCGCAGCCTCGACCCGCTGGGCTCCGGTGATCCTTCTGCCTCAGCCTTCCAAGTAGCCAGAACTACAGGTGCACATTACCACACCCGGCTAATTTTTGATTTATTGTAGAGACAAGGTCTCTCCAAGTTGCCCTGGCTGGTCTCGAACCCACAGGCTCAGGCAATTCACTCACCTCGGCCTCCCAAAGTGCTGGGATTACAGACTGAGCCAGCCAGCCCGGCCAACTGTCTTTGAAGAACTCAAGACATGTCAAATGAATAAACTACAACCCAACATAGTAAAACAAATGCAAAGTGCTCTAAAAGCACAAATAATACAGGAGCTACTTCTGCCCAGAAGAATTAGGGAAGATCTACATGGAAGCAATAGGCTCCTCAGGATATATAGGGCTTATTATGACTTTTTAAAAAAATAGCTTATTGGTAAAACTATCTAAATCATACACAGTAAAAATTATGAATATATCTAAAACCATACTTGCCAATTATTACTTTAAGGTAATCAGACACTAATTATCTTACAATTAGTTTGGGCATGTATAAACAACCCTCAAAATACAACAAAGATCCTTCCAGAGGATCAATGAGCAATTTAATTACCAGCAGTATGCTTCCTTGGAGTAGTCCGAACGGAGTATTCAAAATCAGGCACTGCTCTGCTACTCAAATGAAGGTGGTAATTTCTTGCTTCATCCAATAAATCTCTACATTTTAGATTCTGCTTGACAATCTGCTCTTTTGCCACAACACCCATAAGAAAATCAACTGGCAACAGTGGCAGGCGAACCTAGGATCACAAATAGTTGCAATATGAAATGCTGGTGGAAGTCGGACAGTTCGTTCTCCACTTTCACTGCAGTATGTTCTCTCTTGAAAACTTAACTACTGCATAAAGTCCTTCTGACATGTTAATGAATTCAATGTGTCAAATTCTAAAGCAATTTCCAGTACTGGTCTGGACTACATCTACCCCCTTTAAATACAGGTTTGTGTAGACTAAATAAAATAATTCATTCTAATTGCTTACTTCTTTTTTTTTTTTTTTTTTTGAGTTGGAGTCTCCCTCGGTTGCCCAGACTGGAGTGCAGTGGCCGCTCCCGGCCACCGCAGCCTCGACCTGCTGGGCTCCGGCGATTCTTCCGCCTCAGCCTTCCGAGTAGCCGGAATTACAGGTATGCACCACCACGCCTGGCTGATTTTTCTATTTATTGTAGAGATGAGGTCTTGCTGCCCAGGTGGGTCTCGAACCCGCAGGCTCAGGCAATCCATTCACCTCAGCCTCCCAAAGGCATGGGATTACAGGCTGAGCCACCGAGCCCGGCTTAATTGCTTACTTCTAAAGGTGATGCTGACATAATCACTAAAGGAAAGCCACAATCAAAACACACTTGCTATGCTTTGTTCTTTTGCCTTTTTAAGTTAAGATGGATCATGGGGAAACGCGATGTATTTCTTACTTTAAAATGCAAACATCACATCTGAAACAAGTGTTGTTTCCTTCAAGTCTGTGATCTTGGAAGTCCATATATAACTCAGGAGTGTACCCCCTGGGAGGAGAGGCATTCACCATTCCTGTCTTAAAGATGCACTGACTTTCCAGCGGATCAAAGAGATGATCAAAACAGGTTGAAGTTTCTTTGAGTAAAAAATCCAATCTCTCCCCACAACAAGATCCCACTGCAGTAGTCCCTCTACTACTATCCCTTGAATAGCCTGCTTTATAATTTTTTAAAAAGTACATATACACAAATAAGATATAGTGGCAAGGTAACCAGGCAAAGTGGGGACCAAAGTCGGGCCCAAACTTTACCTGTACAATAACCATTTGTATACCTAATCCTGAATTGTATCCCATGTCTTTAAGAATATATAAAAAATATATAATATATATATAAAAATATAATAAAATTTTGTGATTGCTTTTGTTGACAAACCTACTTCCAAAATAATACTGAGAAGACCTAAACACTGGTGATTATAAGCACTTTCATTCTCTCAATATTTATTAAAACCTTTGATAGTGCTATTGAGAAATTTTATATTATTAAAAATTGGCGTACTTATCATTGAGTACTTTTAGCAAGCACAGTTTTAACAAAGCATTCAATTTTGAAAAAAATAAGTAAATAAGGACACTCTTCCTTTAAGTAACATCATTTTACTTCTCAGGAATGAAGGAAAGAAAAAAAGGGAGGGAGGGAGAGAAGGAAAAGGAAAGAGAAGGAAAAGAAAAGATACAGACCCAAAGGGCATATTTATTAACTTCCTGTCCAAGTAACTCCTGTTGATAGTTAAAAAAAAAAAATAGTAGTAGTAGTAGTAGTAGTAGTAATAATAATAATAATGATAACATTTCTGTGGTTTAAAAAAGTTAACCAGGTGTGGTGGCGCATGCCTGTAGTTCCAGCTACTTGGAGACTAAGGCAGAAGGATCACCTGAGCCCTGTAGGTGGAGGCTGCGGTGGCTGTGAGCGTGCCACTGCACTCTAGCCTGGGTGACAAAGTGAGACTACAACTCAAAAAAAAAAAAGTGAAACTATGATGAGGGAAGAAAATGGAAAGTGATGTCTTACAGTTCTTTCCATAAGTCTATATCCATTAAGAATAACTGTACTTTCATTAGCAAAATAATTCATTAAAATTTAGAAACTAGGCAACCCCTTCAGGTACCCTCCACTGTGGGAGTTTTTCTGTCCTCTCAATAAATCCTGCTTTCTACAAAAAAAAAAAAAATTTAGAAACTTAGGCCAGGTGCGTGGTGGCACAAGCCTGTACAGTCCCAGCACTTTGGAGGCTGAGGAGACAGAATTGCCTGAGCTCAGGGGTTCAAGGCCAGCCTGGGCAACTTGGCGAGACCTCGTTTCTACAATAAGTCAAAAATTAAGCTGGGCATGGTGTGTGCGTCTGTAGTTCCAGTTACTTGGGAGGCTGAGGCAGAAGGATCACTTGAGCCCAGCAGGTCGAGGCTGCAGTGGCTATGAGCATGCCACTGCACTCCAGCCTGGGCAACAGAGTGAGACGCTGATTCAGAAAAAATAAAATTTAGAAACTTCATTATAAAACAATAGTTATACATTATAGAGCTGTTTCCTCAGGTCCCTTTCCATTAGCATAAATAAAGTATTAATTACTATTATCTCAAAGGAATATTTTAAACATTCAGGTTAAAAAGTGGAGAATGATATTGCTAATTCAAATGTGACAAATTTAGACTCACCCTTAAACAGTAGAGCAAGCGAATAAGTAAAAGAGTTAAAGTCATTTTTATCACTGTATTAACATTAACAATTTCTATATTCCTTAAAATAATCTATACTTTTCACAATAAATAAAACATGCTGATTTGCTTACCTATTGCTTCATTTATAAGCACAATCTTAGTCTAGCCCCTACCTGTGCAAGTGTTTCATCCAACCATTTGGAATGATGCTGAGGATTGGCAAGAAGCCACTTGATGGCAGCACTATAGACCTGCTTTTCATTCTCAATATTTAGATCACTGGAGGATAGAAGCTTATGGAGGTGCTGGGGTGACACACTTACAAAGTCTTCACACTCCACAACTTCAGTAAAATGTTCACAGGCATACTGATCCGCCATGTCCATTAAGTCTATTCTATTGTGACTTTCTGCAAAGGCTCTTACGGCCAGGCAATTGGAGGGATGGAAATGTAACTTCATGTATTCACAACAAGCTCTAGCCACCAGTTCAACCTGCAGAATACAGGCTGCATATAAGAGAGGCTGGACGTTGTCCACAGTCAGAGTGAGCCGTGAAGAATAGACAAACTTCACCAAGTCTTCTATGGCATCACCATCAAAATCTCTGATTTCAATCAGTGTTTGCTTGGCTTCAGCCATTTCGGAGAGAAACATGGCTCTGAAGTAGGGAATAACACAAGCCAATACTAGCTTGTGACAGGAGATGAGCTTTGAGCCAACCTGTTCAAAACAAACAAACCAAGAAAGACTTAGTTCAATATCAAAACCAATTTCAGATCAGCACTGAGCCTGTGTTATAGCAGGGACAAAAATTCCAGACAAATTTAGATTATTTGTTTTAATGATGTAATCCCTTGGTCACTTACTATCAATCTAGATCAGTTTCTTAAAGTCAAGATATTTTCTTCTTCCAAATTAGCCATTTACCTTTTATATACATCAATAATATACAATAACCTATGATATTGTATAGTCTCATATTTCAGGAACTTTTGTGAATTAATGAGAATATAACAGCAAATATCATTTAGCACTTACTACATACCAGGTACTATTCTAAGTGCTTTTTATATACTAACTCATTTAATTGTCCCAACAACCCTATGAGTAAGTGCTATTATTATCCACAACTTATCAATCAGAAAACATCAATATTTAGTAGCATTTATTATGAGTTCAACTGAGGTTTTTATTTCTCTATTTATATTATTTTGAAATAAGATAGTTCATATAAAAACAAAAAAAGTACTGAAATCTCACCACTACACTTGCTGAAAAATTAGATTGTTTCCAACAACAATCTGAATTCCTTTGTGACTATTATTCTCTACAGATAAATTCCTATTAGTAGAAATACTGCTTCAAAGAATAGGTACAGTGTGACTATATACTGCCAATCTGTCCATTTCTCATCTACTTACAGTAGTTATGTCATATTCTGAGTATTAATTTGTTAAAAGATAGTTGCAAATTTGATGAATGAGAAAAATCTCATTATTTGTTTTTCTTTTAATAAGACTGAATCATTCATAAATTTGGGGCAATTTGTATTTCTTCTATGAACTAAGAATTTTCTTTCTCATTTATTTGTAAGAACTCATACAATTAGAGTATTAGCCATTTGTCATATATATTTCAAACTTTTTTATAATTTGCTATCAATTTTATTCTCTCCCTATAGATTTTTATATAATCAAGTCAATCTTTTTATGCCATCTTAGGTACCATGCTTGAAATGCGAATTACTTTAATATTCCATTATTTACTTCATATAGTTTTTCTCCTTTTATGATTTTACGTTTTACACTTAAATCTTTATTTAATCTGGAAGTCTTTTGAAATCTAGAAGCTTTTGGTACTGAGTAGGCAGATATCTTTTATTATTAATATGGTATTTATTGAGTTGTCCTAGCACTTTATAACACATAATTGAATACGAGTAATAGTTACAGTACTGTTTTTAACAATTTCCTGTTTTCATGTAGTATTGTGATTATATAATAAACTTATAGTTGTCTCATTATTTGAGAACTAATTTTAAAATGAGAACTTCTAAAGATAAGACCTGAGGACCATTATGATGTCTAAATAGTTTTGCTTATGAAAGCTCCTCCTCCAATCTTCTTTTATTAATGTGAAGGAAGAAAGATTGTCACCTATTTCAATAAGTCTGAGACAATCATTTCTGTCTGTTATGCTATATTCAATTTTTTAACAGAATTCACAAGGCAGGCTTTAGAGTCTATGGAGACGGAAGTTGTAACCTAGACTACAACATAACCTCGGCATGTTTTCAAATTCATTTTAGTTCTGAGATGGCATCTGAAATCTGATATGATATAATTTTTAAATAGCCTAAGTATTTCCTTTTAAAAACTATAGCCACATGCCATAGGATTCAGTTTCTATGTAAATATTTGTACATCTCACATGACATAAACCTGCCTAATTAAATAACTTGCCAACACTCTCTTATATAACAATACTATAAAACAGTGTTCTTCAATTTCTAGATAACTATTGTTTTAACAGTCTTCCAACCATGCTGTATAAATCAATGGCCAGCAAGTTATTTTCCTGTTGTTCTTAATGAGACATTGCCCATTCTACTTTAATTTCTTGATTCAAATAAACTAAAATGTGGCCATTTAGCACACATATACACAAACACAGATCTTTATGTCTCTTGTATGAAATATGAACAGTAAAAAATCTGGCTTTTTAAAGCATGGATTCTCCTTTGGTGTTATATAGTTTCTTGAAAGTCTGTATCCACATTTTTTTCCTTTGGTACATAAAAATAATTATCAGTTACCAAAAAACATTTCATCAGAAATTTGAAAATGAACAGAATCAAAATCTGAAGACTTGGAAAAATGGAAACCACAAATGCTACAAAATATAAGACATTACTATATAATTTAAATTTTATATAACCACTATGATATATATCCATGACACTAGTGAATTTTCTACTTTACACTTTCTTTATTAGATCAGTGAATAATCCACGATACTGTTAAAAGAAAAACCTTAGACAAAATAAATTTAACAGAATTTACCTGAGCAAAAAACAATTCATGAATCGGGCAGCCCCCAGAACCAGAAAAGGTTCAGAGACTCTGTGCTGCCACATGGTCAAATATTATTTATGGAAGAAAAAAGGAAAGTGACATACAGAAAACGGAAGTAGGTCTAGAAACAGCCAGAATGATCATGGCTCCGCATCCGCCATATTTGCACATGGTTTATATGCCTGGCTGCCTTTGATTGACGGAAACTCTGTGACCCACACAACAGTTGGTCACAGTCTGTTTACACATCCAGGTAGGCTATAGTTCAACCTCTAGGCCAAACTTAAACGATGTGAGGAGCCAGCTTTAGGTGAAACTTAGTTTCACAATACTGGGGGGTAAATCATGCCATGCTTAAACTTAAGTTTTGAAATATGTAGAACATCAACATTAATAAAAAGATTCCTTAGATTTTGCTTAAAAAGCTTGCAATACCAACTATTAATCAAAACTTTGAATAATTTCCCATAGATTAGCAAATGTGAAACAATAAGACAAAGGCTTTTAGATTAGTAAACACTTGACTACCAAGATGGGGATGTTGTGGGGAGATGAGGGACACAGGAGGAAGTCAAACATGGTTCAATTTTTTAAAATTTTAATGAGCTTATTTGAGTATTCCATGATTCATAAATTGAGCAGCCCCAGAGGTTCAGTGGGGCCCCACTGAGGTGGGGAGGAGGGGGTAATATTTATAAGGTGTTTTCAAAAGCAAAATGAAGACAATATTGGATTGGTTACTCTGGAAAGTCCATTGTGCTAGACTTACTTGGCAGTTTCTGAGAGGTCCGAGGTCAGTTTGTGGGTTTTTTGGGGTTTTTTTTTTGAGTTGGAGTCTCACTCTGTCGCCCAGACTGGAGTGCAGTGGCCGCTCCCAGCCACCGCAGCCTCGACCTGCTGGGCTCCAGCGATCCTTCCACCTCAGCCTTCTGAGTAGCCGGAATTACAGGCGTGCGCTACCACGCCCGGCTAATTTTTTAAAAATTTATTGTAGAGATGAGGTCTCACCAAGTTGCCCAGGCAGGTCTCGAACCCTCAGGCTCAGGCAATCCACTCACCTCAGCCTCCCAAAGCACGAGATTACAGGCTGAGTCACCGAGCCTGGCTAGTTTGTGGTTTTTGATTGGCTAAACTTGAGTTTCATTTTACTGTCTATCTAGGAGGAAGGCACTGGAGCTGTCTGGGCCTAACAGCCTCCTAATTCATGATTTTAAAACATTTTACCATTTTCTTTCACATCTTTCATTTGTACTGCTAATGGAACATTTAGGTCCAGGCATCAAAACTGTATAACAAACTAAACAGAACTATGCTTAAAAACAAATGACCTGCCGGGTGCAGTGGCTCACGCCAATAATCCTAGCACTTTGGGAGGCAGAGGCGAAAGGAGTGCCTGAGCCCAGGGGTTCGAGACCAGCCTGGGCAACTTGGCAAGACTTGGTTTCTACAATAAATCAAAAATTCAGCCAGACATGGTGGCTTGCACTTGTAGTTCCAGCTACTTGGGAGGCTGAGGTGGAAGGATAGCCTGAGCCCAGTAGGTCAAAGCTGTGGTAGCTGTGAGTATGCCACTACACTCCCAAACAGAGTGAGACTCTAACTCAAAAACAACAACAAAAACCTGCTGAATTGAGATGAAATGAACTAAGAAGAAAAAAAAACTGGTTAAACAAAGAATGTTAAAAATTCCATTGACTATAAGTTCTGACTTACAAAATGAACTATCTGCAGTGAACGTCACTTACTTTTCAAGTTTTTTTCCTTACTGAAATACAATCAACGTGTAAAATCATGAAAGCACAGAAAAGTATAAGAAAAAAATGTACAATTCAAATGATGTCAAACTGCTAGTGTATGCTTTCCAACTTTTTTTCTACATTCTTGAAATACAATAGAGATTTTCCAGAAATCTGCAATCTTTTCTCAAGGTTCTGAAGCCGTCTGTAACCCTCATGCATTTTGGCTATGTGCTGCACTGTACAGTAGATGTAACAAGTTTATCTAACCATTCTGATATTGGTCAGTTAGATTATTTAAAAATTTTCCATGTTTTAAACACAAACTGTATCTTAGAGAAAGTTTTTTCAGCATTTCAGAATATTTCCTTGAGATAAAAATCTCAAAATCAGAATTAATAAGCCCTCCAAACAACCTCTGTATAGCTCTTGCTTGACACATCCTGTCAAACTGTCTCTCAAAAACACTGAACCAACCTACTCATCCAACAAAGTTTGAGAATGCTAACTTCAAGTTTTCAAAAGCTCAAAATAAATATTTTAAATAGTCAATATACTGGAAAATGAACAATTTTTGACTGATTTAATCTTCTTTCTTAGTTAAAACTTTTCAAACCCTTGGCCATTCTGTAAACTGCTCTTTTGTGCATTTGTTCTTATGTAAACTCACTTCAGTTCTAGGTATTAGGCTTATAATTCCATTAGCACAGACTGTTAAAAACCATTTACAAACATACTTTAAAAATTTTAGGTTGGGTTCAGTGGTTTAGCCTGTAATCCCAGTACTTTGGGAGGCCAAGGCGAGTGGATTGCCTGAGTCTGTAGGTTCGAGACTAGCCCGGGCAACTTGGCGAGACCTCATCTCTACAATTAAAAAAAAAAAAAAAAAGACGGGTGTGGTAGTGCATGC